ATGCAGCTAGCAGGAAAGGTCATCATAAAATAGTTGAGTTACTTCTTAAGGAGAACGCTGATCCAGATGCACAATATCAAATTAATCAAGAAAGCATAGGCACCACTCCTCTTGCCACCCTATTTATTGAATTACTTATTGAAAATTATTCTATGATAATTGGCAAGACAGCACTAATGGCAGCTAGTATAGATAATCATTATCAAGTAGTTGAATTACTACTTAAAGCAAATGCTGATCCTAATATTCAAAAGAAGGATGGCCGAACAGCATTAATGCTAGCAAGTCAAAGTGGTCATACTGAAAGTATTGAGTTACTCCTTAAGGCAGGTGCTGATCCTGACATTAAAGAAGAAGACGGTTGGACAGCACTTATGACAGCTTGTCAAGGTGGCCATACAAAAGTAGTTGAGTTACTCCTTAATGCAAACGCTAATCTTAATATGACACAAGGAGATGGTGCAACAGCACTCATGATAGCCAGTCAAAATGGTTTTCTAGAATTGGTCAAATTACTCCTAACAAAAGATGTTGATCCTAACATTCGAGCTAATAATGGCACAACAGCATTAATTCAAGCCAGTTACGATGGGCATCACAGTATTATTGAGTTACTCCTTGGTAAAGAAGCCAATCCTAACATTCAGCAGCTAGGTAATGGAAGAAATGCACTCATGTTAGCTAGCCAAAGAGGTCATTATCATGTGGTTGAATTGCTTCTTCAGAAAAATACAACCAATCCTAATATTCAGAAAAATGATGGATGGACTGCACTCATGCTAGCAAGTATGAATAGTCATCACAAAGTAGTGGAGTTACTCCTTAAGGCAGGTGCTGATCCTAATATTAAAGAAGAGGATGACTGGACAGCACTCATGATAGCTTGTCAAGGCGGTTACTATGAAGTGGTTGAGTTGCTCCTTAAAGCAGGTGCTGATCCTAATATTAAAGAGGAGGATGGATGGACAGCACTCATGATAGCAAGTCAAGGTGGTTACTATCAAGCAGTTCAGTTGCTCCTTAATGCAAATGCTGACCCTAATATTGTAAGTGATAACGGGTGTACTGCTATTGTAATAGCAAGTCAAAATGGTCACCTCCAAGTAGTAAAGCTGCTCTTTGCAAACAATGCTGATCCTACCATTCAAGAAGGAGGAAGAACAGCACTTGTCATGGCTAGTTCAAAAGATCGGAAAAATATAGTTGAGTTTCTCATCAAAGAACAGGAGGATCATGGTTTCACGACACTTAATGGCTGCAATTCACAGTGAAATCATTGAATTGGTACTTTCCTTGCTATCAGCTGGAATTATGACGTACATAGACGAGGGTCATGTTCAAGCAGCAATACATTT